TGTTTTTCCCCAAGAGAAAATGGTATTTCAGAACACGAAAAATTGGTTGAACTGCATTTGTTGGAGCAGGGTCTCTGTATGTTAAAATTCCTTGTGCTTACCATTGCCTCTTCTGTTTTCCACTAATTCACTTGCATGTAACTAGTAAATACTTATATATTAAACCAATTCTGTTTCTCAGGAAAGATTGGTTATCTCCCCTTCTCTCTCATTCTCTTTGGTTTTCTTCTTCCATGTGGCTACCTAAATGGTGGTTAAGTCTTAAGATTAGGATTCAGACTTCATGGAGAAAGTGAGACCTTCTCCATCTAGGTCTCTGGGTCTCTCATCTAACCCATGTGCTTCTACCTGGAGCTTATCAGGTAGTTCTACATGGAAACAAAAGGATACAGTGTAATGGAGTTTGGTTATATTTTTGAGTAACACTGAGGAACCTCTGCTTTCTTGGATTCTCAAATTAAACAACCATGGGACTGTTGATTTTAGAAACTGCTTAATGGAAAGGGTTGTCTAATTAACAACTTAGTGCAGTGTTCAGCATTTGATCCATAGAGGACCCAACTTATTCCTTTTGGAGTGTGTGAAGTCTGGAATGCAGCATTTTCCTGAGAAGGAAAATGTTGCACTCCTTTTGTCAACAGTTAAATAGACTACCTCTGTGAAAGCACTAAAAATATTAAGGCAAGTGGCAACCCTGATTTGGTTTTGTGATGCTTAGTGTTGAGCTTCCTGTAATAACATGCCCCTGTCCTACACTATAACAGATATGATTAGGGGGAATCCCTCATGCATGGGTTCCCCATATGATTCTTTAAATGAGAGAACAATAAAGTAGAATGCCAAGGCAGGTTTGTTCTCACGGCTATTAGTAATGCACTTTATTAATGAAATTGAAAGTTTAAGCTACTCAGAAGAAAGCTAATGAGTTGGGGTGAAAATAGTAACCAGAACAACGGAAATAAATATCACATAGCACTATTTATATGAGGAGGAGGAAATTGACATGATCCCTGCACAGGATTTGGGGGCACATTAACAATAGCGGAGAAGAGGGAAACCTACTCTAGTTCCTGCATCCACCTCACCTGAGTTAACCTATCAGATCTGTTCCAGTCCAGATGAGTTTAAAGCAATGATGCTGAAGGGAAATAGGAAAATAAAGTGTGTTTTTAAACACAGGATAGTTATTTTAATTCATCTATTAAGGCTGTGGGGAAAAAGGATGATTAACTTGAGGGAAGAGAAATCCTTACTTGACCTCTGGTGGGGGGAGGCGAGTCCAAGGTTGTATAGTATAGTTCATGTTGAGTGGCAGAGGATAGTGAAAAACCTTTTTGAGACTACTGAATGTACCATATTGATTGTCAAAAATGTACCATAATTTCAGCAGGGGGATGAAAAGGCTATATTAAGGCATGAAAATTGAAGTTTGGAGAACATGGAAATGTTATAGTAGATAGCACCAAAATCATTATGAAGGTGCAGATAGAGAAACAAGAAAGAAAAAATATCCAGTTCTTGCCTTTACCTGAATACATGGTTAGAATGGTTATGATGAAAGCCCTGTCATTACCAGTGTAAAGCCACATGTTTTTAAGAGACAGAGAAGTTTGCCCTTCGTGTAGTTTTAACTAGACATGCAAAATAGAAGCCGAGACTTGCTCAAACCCTCCTTTGTAGTAAATATCAGGCAGTGTCAGATTCTGGAAGGGCACAGGAAATCTCATCTTTTGTTAATAAACAATGGGAGCGAAGGAGCTTATCTCCTCTAATACTTCTTTCTATTAATACTATGTGGCCCAGGAGAAAAAGAGAAGGCTCTTGGACATAACTGTTTAATATCATGATTCAAACAAAGTAGTTTCCATGATTTAAACAAGTATCTGTTGTGCAAGGCATTGTAAAAGCTGAACAAGAAGTCCAGCGGGCTAAATACTACTGGATTTTTGTAATAGATCAGGTTAATGCTATCTTCTTAATCTCACTCAGAGAAAAGTCAAGCACAGTTTGCTTGTACATGAGAAGGAATGTAATATATGTTTACAGTCTTTCTGCAAGGATAAATGACCTGTCCAACTAACTGCCACAATTTGGTGAGACTGGATTTAGACATGATCATTATAAAATTAATTGATTATATTAATGATGACACTATGGTGATTTTCCTCTCGGAGGGAGAACTCAGGAAGATTTTAGAGCTGTAGTGGCCCATGTAACTAGGCAAATGGTTGATCAATCCAGTTGATTCAGACACTACTCCAAATGGTGAAATTTCTAAAAATAACTTTGGGGGCCGGCCCGGTGGTGCACTGCTATAGTGCGCCGCTTGGGAGCGCAGTGTCACTCCCGCCGAGCGTTCGGATCCCACATACAGACCGGCCGCTCACTGGCTGAGCGAGGTGCGGGCGCAACACCGAGGGTTGCGATCCCGTTGCCGGTCCCGGTCCGGTACGGGCACGACACTGAGGGTTGCGATCCGTTGCCGGTCACGAAAAAAGACAAAAAAAGGGGAAAAAAATAAAAAAAAAAATGAATAAATAAATAAAAATAACTTTGGGGGCCGGCCCGGTGGCGCACTGCTATAGTGCGCCGCTTGGGAGCGCAGTGTCACTCCCGCCGAGCGTTCGGATCCCACATACAGACCGGCCGCTCACTGGCTGAGCGAGGTGCGGGCGCAACACCGAGGGTTGCGATCCCGTTGCCGGTCCCGGTCCGGTACGGGCACGACACTGAGGGTTGCGATCCGTTGCCGGTCACGAAAAAAGACAAAAAAAGGGGAAAAAAATAAAAATAAAAATAAATAAATAAATAAAAATAACTTTGGGCCACCAGAGGTATTCTACAAACAATAAATAATAAATTACTCTCCCTCCAGGACCCCGCTAATAGGAGGCACAACACATTGAGGGGCTATTTGGCAAGATATGAAAAATATATAATGGGCAGTGGCCCAAGTATGCTAGTGGGACTCTACAGTTCTAACACATTCACGTGATTTTAGAAGTTCCTGACACTAGAATACATGCAAAGTAGAGGCTTTGACTGAAATATAATGCTGCCACCTTGTGGCGATCATTCAACAAGTTCCTGATGATGGGGCTAAAGAGCTGGCTTGCCAGCATGCTATCGGGCTCTAGTGAAAACAGTCCCCATAATTAAAGGGCTTCAAATTGTATTAAGATCTGAACTACCTATTATATCACTGATAATATCAGAAAGAGGTAGTAATAAAGAGGAATCTTCACAACAAAATTCTCAAATAAAAGAATTCATGTCATGAGCGGTGTCTTTGGGGAGCAATAACATCCATGGACCAGGTAGCATCTCTGCTTTACAACTGATTAGCAGTCCACTTCTGTTGCTGAATGGTCTAAATCTCATGACTCTCTTTCCAACAAAATAGAACCAATTTCCTGGTATATCCAGAAGAGTTCCTCTATAGCACGAAGACCAATGTTAAATCTGCTACTATTTGCCCTATGGACAGTAAAAATCCAAATAATGCTAAGGTAAGTTCATTCTATGGGCTGAGTTGAGAGCAGTGTATGTGGTAGTGGAGGAAAACCTGAACTCTACTTCAGGGCAATGTTTGACAGTAACCAATGGCCTGACTTGTGGTCAGGAGATTGAGAATCTTGATGAATTAACATTAAGAATACCCCAGTGCAGGAGATGCAATTGTAGAAGGCCTATGGAATATACAAGGCAGGATGATAGTGGGTCACAAAGATACCCACAATAAAAATTGAGCTGGTTAAAAAGGTGAATAAAACACCAAACCGATGGCCTGTCACCCCCTAGAAGAAGCCACCCAGGTAATTTGAGTAGGCAATGAAACACTGATTTTGGAGACGTTTCTTTTTGCTGGATAGCTTCCTTCTCCCACCGCAGTCTACTTCACATCTTCCTCAATCCTGCTCCATATCCCAGGAGACAGGTTTGTATGATCTGGTGTAGAAAGCTGAACTTCCTTCCCCTCTGGCTTCCAGCCCAGCTTAACCTATGGCCAGCACCGCCAGGAGACTGAAGAGATGGAAGAGAATAAAGTTGAGGTATTTATTTCTCCCTGTTCGCTCTTTTGGGATCTGGCTGGGTCCCTGCTCAACAGAAGGTCACAGTTCCTGGCAGTTAGCACATGAGAAAATACAGGCTTATAATGGCATCCACAGGCTGGCATGTGTTCAAATCTTTTCCCCTCTCAAGGGGCCAGAAGCCAGCCGGCCAGCGGTGCTGTGCTGGTCTGGGGTAGAACAATGACAACCAGACGCTGCCAGCGTCCCAAAGAAGAGGCGAGATCGACGTGGACATCCCAAATAGAAAACGACAGATGGGGGATCCCAGACGGTCTTATCCTACTGATGCTCTCCTGACGTTCCCCAGCGTTGGTGAAAAGTCTGATAAACTGCTGCAGGAAAATAACTTACGGATCGCCCACCACGTGCCGGGCAGTGGGGCGCTTTTCCACAGTTCATCGCATTTCACTACCAGCGGCCCTAGCAAGCGGCGGGTGCTGAACCGCGGACAGGAAGCAAAGGGTGCAGAGAAGTGCTGCGGGAGGGGAGCGCTCGCGTGTGGGTGCGCTGGGGCCCCAAGCGACGTGGGGGCGGGCGGGGAGCCGCACGGGCGCGGGCCGGGGGCGCCGA